CCCCAGAGCCTTGTCTAATCTCCAGATGACATCATTCTTCCTGATTATATCAGTTCATATACTATAAATTTAGAAAAAAAAGGAGTGGCATTCCTTACAATTACATCTTTGCCCCATGAATAAAAAACCCTCCTCTTTGTAACCATGCTGTAAAAATGGACTGCCTACTTGTCCATTTGGTTTTCTGACTTATGTCTTGTTGCTTTATATTTGTAAAGGACTGTGGAATTTGGCTAATTTTTTCTTTACACCCTAAGTTTTATCACCTTCAGCGACTTCAAGGTCGCTGATGCTGTATTTAAGCCCTAGTCCTGCAGTTCCTTGATTCCCATTGATCTTAGTCCCTATCTTATTAAGTCACTCAGACCAGTAAACATGTAGCAGGCCATATTATTATTTACCTTGTTATCTTACTCCAGATGATGACTGAATTCTATCCTTCCTTTCTTACCCTAATCATTGAAAAGAGTGGCCTTTAATTCCTTATTTAACCCCTCTATTTTGTTCCATCACTTCACCAAAATGTCCTTCCCAAAGTCACCATCAACACCTTGCAGCCATATGAACTAAACATTCTCAATATGGAACTAAGCCAATTAATCTTTTCATTCTTTAGTTTTTCCCCTAAGCCTGTTTCTTCCTTCTCAGTCTACTTTATGTTACTCTTTTTCTTCAACCGAAACTTACGTGTTGATATTACTCAGGATTACCTTGTACCCCTTTCTCTTCTCATAGGACCTATTTCACCTGGTTGATTTCACCATTATTAAATGTCTGCAATCACCTATATACATTATTAACTCAAAAATATCGAACTTCTAATCTAGTCCCATATATTCAATTTTCTACTGGTCATCTCTTTTTGACTTCTCAATTGACACATGTCAAATTCCTCATTTTTCACTCTACATCTCTACCTCTTCTTGTATTTCATGTCTCAGTGACTGGCACAACCATTTATCCAATCTCCCAAATTAGAAACATTAAAATCATTCTAAAACCACTTTTCTTCATTATTCTCACATCCAATGAATCAACAACTTAAATTTCTTTTATCTCCCAAATATTTCTTTACTCTATTCCATGCTCTTCATCCATATTATGACTGATTTAAGTAAATGGCTCATAATTCCTCACTGTTGTCATAACTGTCTAATAGGTCTTGCTCCTTGCCTCACATATCCCCCTTTAGTCCATTTTCTACATGTCTGCCAGAGTGATTATCCTAAAATACAAATAACTCTCCTGAGTCAGTATATAAATAGTAATTGAAGCCACTGGAACTGCTGAGCATCTAGGTAAAAAGTATAGATCTAGTTTCCAAACAGTGTGCATGAGAATCACCTGAAGAACCTATTTAAAACATAGATTATTGGGCCCCATCCCAGTTTCTGATTAAGTAAGTGTGATGGTTGTTTTGTGTTAACTTGGTTAAGAGTTTAGGAACCTCATAGTTCAGAAGTCTGACATCAAGGTGTCAGCAAGGTTACTTCCTTCTAGAAGCTGAAGGATAATCTGTTCCATGCCTCTCTCCTACCTTCTGGTCATTACTAGCAAGGGCATTCCTTTGATTACAATTGCATCACTCCAATCTGCATCTATCTCCAGAAATTCTCCCCTGTGTGCCATTCCCATATCTAAATCTCTCCCTCTCATGAAGACACTAGTCATTGGATTGAGGGTCCACACTGATCCAGTAAGACCTTGATGACATCCATAAATACTATTTCCAACTAACATTACATTCAAGTACCTACCATTGGAACTTGAACATATCTTTTTAGAACAGAGTTCAACCCACAGCACATGGTTTTGGAGAGTGGAGGAGGACAGACTAAAGAGCCACAATAAGGTTGGCAGGCAACTTTATGTTCCTCTTTTTCTTCAACCAAAGATGGGACAGAGAATTTAGAATAAAGCCAATCTGCATGGGTCTGTGAGTGAAATGGTGATCATGGAATTTGAGGTGGGGGGAAAAAAGTTATGAAAAGACAAACTGTAAGGGGAGTTGGACTTCAAGTCCTGAGGATGATAAACACTAGCAACAAGTTGGGAAGCTTGGGGATTATAGTCCCTGAGTTGGGTGTTTGAATTTGTCATTATAGAGAGGTGGCTTGGTCAAGACTACTGAGACACAGTGTTTGAGATGGAAGTGGAAGAGGTGAAAGGGGTGATGAGTACACAGAACTAAGTGGCCAAAGCTTTTAAGGACTCTTCACCTGGACACCAAAATTCCCTGGGAACTTCCTAGGATTACCAATGGTAGAGATGAGTCAATGAATGTGACCAAGAACAGTAATGAAAAGAATGCAATGATTTTGGGTGTTCACTTCAAAGGTGCAAGAGTGATTTTTGTTTTTCCAATTTTTTATTGATAGTATTACAGATATATTATCTCCGTTCTCACCCTCAAAAATGCCCTGAAATACTTTTTTCACAGGAGTGTTTAATTAAAAGAAAAACAATAGTGTGAAAATATTCTTTTCTGGAAAAAAAAGTAAGAAAGTCAGTATTTTATATTTAGGATTTTTTGTTTGCCTTTTTTTTTTTTTTTTTTTTTAAATAAAGGAATGAAGGAGCAATGATTTAGAAATGGCATAGGAAGCAGAGAACCTAAAGCCAACAACTGATTCTGGGTCTCATAGGAGGGCACCAGAGTACATAGCTAATATATTTGAATTAAAATCCTTGTCACTCTTTTTATTTGTAGAATCATCAAGAGAAACATTAGATCTGGGTCAGAATGTAGATCATGTTTAATGGGAAAGAGAATCCTCCAAATGGTAGTTACCTCAGGGAATGCAAGGCCATGCCAAGTCCACTTCTGGGTCAAGTGCCAACAGCATAGCCAATGGTACAGTCACAGGATACACACATGGCCAGGGCCCATACCTATGGTCTAGGACAGAGGTGGGCAACCCCTGGCACGCGTGCCAAACATGGCACGCCAGTAACTTTTGCTGGCACGCGAAACCCTCTCTTATAATCTTCCATTTACAATTTTTTT